TATTCTTTTTCTTTTTCTTTTTTTTTTTTTTTTAATACCTTCGAAGCTATCGTGAATTATTCTTATTATTATTTTCTCTCTTCTTTGTTTTTTTTTTTTTTTATCGAAAGAGAGAGAGAGAGAGAAAGAGAGAGAGAGAGAGAGAGATTCTAAAAATAAAAAGAAATCCAGGTGAAAATTACTCAGCAAAATGTGACGCGCGTTATAGCGTAAGTTGAACCATTTCGATGATCTTTTAAAAGTCACGTATGTTACGTATCTACTTAAGCACAATTCTATCGATTAAATTATCCCTATAGCAAGCACAATCGTTATATGATATACGTAAATAGTAAATATATAAAGATTAAATTAAAAAAAAAAAAAAAAAGGGGGGGGGAAAAAAGATTAAGATAGGATACAACTTTTTTAAGTTATATCTTGTGAAACGTAATGATTTTTATGATTCATTTTTCTTCTTCTTTTCTTTCTTTTTTTTTCTTTTTTTTTTTTTTTTTTTTTTTTTTTTATATATTACAATTCACGCAAAACGAATGGAGACCATTCGATCTCGACGACGACAGGAAGAAAAGAAGGAAAAGAAGAAAGAAAACAAAACAAACAAAAAAAAAAAGAAAAAATAAAAGAATAAAGAAAAGAAAAAAAAAGAGAGACGAGAAAGCTCATTGTCACGGGCTACGCGATATCGATGGTCTTTCCTTTGTCTGTAGAAGTGCTATCGATCAGCATTTTTTATGCGAAAGGATGCACGTGACGTGACAGGGAAAAAAATTTGCATGCCATTCCAGGTTCCATGGGAGTGAGAACCGTTTAGGTTTTGAGCGTTTAAGCGTATCCTTTCGTATTTTCTATATCCCGACTTGTAAAACTAACGAAGAGTCATCGAAACGACATTAGCTAGCTTGGTCAACGGTGCATCACAACTGTGACAAACTTTTTTAAACTATAGTGATCGATTGCCAGTTTATCATATAATTTTTTTCTAATCAAATATCTTTTCGTATGGAGGACTACGGTATTCTGTAAAACAAAGACCATAGAGAGAGAGAGAGAGAGAGAAAAAGAGAGAGAGAAAGAGAGAGATATTTTAATTAACAAAAAGAAACAATTTTCATATGTACTTTTAACATATAACATATCAATATACATAATTGTATATATAGATATATAATGACAAATAAAAAAAAAATATATATATATTAAAAATATATATATAATAACAATAAATATATAATAAAAAAGAAAAAATATATATATATATATATATAAAGAATTTTGTTTTCTATCACATTTTATTTTTATCAATTAATCGCGGCAATTAAAATAATCTTACGATACAATAAGGATACGTAGGAGATACGTAGAGTATTGTAAAATTGCTTTGATACGTGCAATAGTGAAAAAAAAAGAAAATAAAAAAAAAAAAAAAAGAAAATAAATAAAACAAAATAAAATGAAGCTAACGACAATGAATTTTTCGAATAAGGAGACAAATGTAAAAGGGACGATACGATCACATTTGAAAAATATTTGTCGTTCTTTCTGATACAAATATAAACGGTTTGAGATATCCTTTTGAAATGAACGAAAAAAAAAAAAAGAAAACAAAACAAAAGAAAAAAAAAACAAAAAAGGGTAGAAGGAAGGAAGAGGGGAGTAAGGGGTAAAGAAAAATCTGACTCCTGGCAGTATGTTAGCTTTGGAACCTCGTCGAATGTGGCTCGTGCCGAATGACTCCTGTACGACGCGACATATGTTACGTGCGTGCACGAACGTTCGACACGCATACGTGCAAACAGGGTTAAATAATCCGCCCCCACCCGTATAATTACATACGCAGTATGTAAGGTACACCACCCACCTATACCATTTCGAAAGACCGAAACTTTCCAAAAGTCCGGAGTGAGAGGGATCGAAGTCGATAAAAAAAAAAAAAAAAAAGAGTATTAGAATAACGCCGTTGACATGACTATCCCTTTTATATAGTTCTCTCTTTTTTTTTGTCTTTTTTTTTTTTTTTTTTTTGTACTTTTCTTCTCTTTCTTACACCTCCATGGGATTTTTCAATGAAAGACGACGGATAATCCCACGGAAGACAAAAAGGACGAAACGAAGCTCTTTTTTTTTCTTTCTTTCTTTCTTTCTTTCTTTCTTTTTTCTTTTTCTTACTTCTTTTTTTATTCTTTTTTTTTCCCGTACGTACGTCATCGAAATGTTTTCATCCTTTTTCCTTTCTATTCCTTTTTGTTTCTTTCTTCTTCTTCTTCTTTTTTATTTTTTTTTTTTTTTTTGGACGGCTTTTTCCTTCTACTGCGATGTGTAACTACGAGGATGAGACGGAAGAAAGAAGAAAGAAAAGAAAAACATCCCCCACTATTCTTGAGAGATCAGGATTTTTTTTCGGATAAGATAATAAAAAAATATTATGTATAATAGTAATCGTGAATGAAAGAAAATAATTATTTTATTGAGAGTTTATTATACTTCAAAAAAAAAAAAAAAAAAAAGAAAAAAAAAATTAAATTATCAAAGATCCCCGATGTTTGGATTTCATTGAGCTAAAGTGTCTAATAAAGAATTTAGTTGAATTATATTATTTAAAGATTGAAATTTTTCGTATGAAATAAAAGAGATAATATGTTATTTGAAATAATAATTGCCGAGGCAAAAAGATTCTTTACGAGGGATGATCATAATTCTCAAAAAAAAACAAAAAAAACACAAAAAAAAAGAAAAACAGGAGAGAGAGAGAGAGAGAGAGAAATTATTAAGAATAACTCGATTTTGGATTATCTGTGAACTGGTTGAGGTATTAAATGAATACTAGGTAAAGTCTTCAGATAGAAAAAGAGGTGGGAGGGCGCGACATCATCCAACGGGATTCTCTTCGTGGTTTACCACTGTCGAGGCTGGACGTGGTTGCTCCACGTCACCGTTGCATTATTGAGCCTGAGAATCCTACAGATGGTCTAGCCTTCCATTAGTGCAAGAAGGATCGAGATATGTTAGCCCCGAGAAGTTCTTTCGATGGAAAGAGAAAGAGAAAGAGAGAGAGAGAGAGTAAGAGAGAGTAAGAGAGAGTAAGAGAGAGTGAGAGAGAGAGAGAGAAAATGAAATAGAGGTAGGAGGGAATCAGCCCTGGCTCGAGAGGGTTGAGAAAGTCAAAGGGAGACTCCCGGAGAGACCCGTAGTTGAACGTGTCCTGAAGGCTTCTCGACTTTATGACCTTCCTCGACGACAGTCTGTCTCTTTTTATATAAAGTTCTATCAAATGGATAAGAATTTTAATTGGTCACTCGATATATTATTAGATATTCAAATTGCCTCAAACGCAAGCTTTGTATTTTTATTGATTTAAAAAAGAAAAAAAGAAAAAAAAAAAGGAAGGAAAAAACCAAAAAAAAAAAGAAGAAGAAGAAGAAGAAAAATATTTCAATTCCTCATACTTAGGTAGGATATTTTTTTTTCATTTTTTTTTTTTTTTTTATATCGTAGATCGCGAAACGAATCGAAAGAAATTAAGAATTAATGACGGGAAGTATTATGAGAAAGAAAAAAAATATGACATAATGAATACTCATAAGATTATTCCTCGTTGAATTTCTTTTTAATTATGTAGTTTAATAATCGATTATTCTAAACTCAAGAACAATAACAATAATAATAATAATAATAATAATAATAATAATAATAATAATAATAATAATAATAATAATAATAATAATTAATTGATTAATTAATATTAAGATCAGATTAGATGAAATAATTTGACGATAAACGATAACTCGAAATATTTTATCGTACGTCTAATACTCAAAGAAAACTTACGTATCTATGTACGTGTAAATATGTATGTATAAATTTTATACACACACATACACACACACACACACATATATATATATATGAAACGTATGTAAGTACTTATGTACCTACGATCGACGTATTGTATAATGTATATCTTATGTATCTTCGATCGCGTCAAATCGTGGTTTCGCCTTCGACGACAATGAGCTTGAAGGCAGGAAGTCGTAAGCTTCGACGAATCGAAGTTAGCTTACTTCGTCTACGAGGAACATTTTGCCGATTCGAAGTTTCTCATTACCTCGTACAATATGCAAGAACATATGTGTCGTTACGACATTGACTATAGATATATACACCCCCATACATCCCCCATACTATCTATCTATCTATCTATCTATCTATCTATCTATCCATTTCTATCTAACTTAAAGTCGAAGTGATTACGATATATGTATGTACATATATATATATATGTGTGTGTGTGTGTGTATGTACGTACATACATATATATGTTCGTATGTATATACGAAATGGTGATAGATATCGTGTAAACGTTGTATCATATTGCCAGTGAAAATGACGTATAATGAGGAATAATAAAAAAAAAAAAGGACCAAGATGATAAAGACAAAGATAATCTTCAATCACGTTATATCGAAAATATTATTTTCTCTAAAATCGTTCAATATGACGGACAAATGATCATCATACGAGAAAGGGAACGCGTGCGTTGTCAACATTATTGTCACTTACTGTCATATTTTATCTAACAACGATCATCTAATCCATCACGCTTCTTCCATACGTCAACGTTTATTCTTTCCATCCTACGTGACAAGGAGAATATTAAAGATCCAACTTTTTTTTCTATACTCGACTATTCCAGAAATTGTCATTAATAAAGTCAATTAATCAAGTCGTTCTAATGAAAAACGTCGTCATGTTAAAATTGAACGAAATGAAGGATTTTTTTCTTTCCCTTTTTCTTCTTCTTCTTTTTTTTTTGTTTTTTGTTCCTTTTTTTCTTTTGTTCAAAACTTCGTTCGTTAACATTCAAAAAGGGAGACAATTATTATCGTTCGTTTTAATCAAAATATTTGACGTCGAATCAAATCGACATTGGAATTAATGTTATCTGAAAAGTAATAAAAAAAGAAATCTTGAAAAATTTTCTACTTTTACAGGAACTATTTCTTTCCCTTCTCACTGTCGCCATCGTCGTAGTCGTCATAAGTTTTCTTCAAATTCATAAAGAAAAATGGAAGAGAATAATAGAACCGAAACACTCTGCAAAGTATGCGGCGACAAAGCTTCTGGGAAACATTATGGAGTACCGAGTTGCGACGGGTGCCGTGGTTTCTTTAAAAGGTCAATCCGCAGGTACGCGAGGTAATTAATTTTCTCGTTCATTATATTAACACTGAGATATTATAAAATCGAAATTTTGCACATTCGTGTTTGATGAGAGAAAAAAAAAAAAAGAAAAAAAAGAATAGATTTTTTCTTTTTTCTTCTTTTTTCTTTTTTTTTTTTAATAAAAGTCGAATGAGAATCCTACGAGATTGAAATTATTGAAATTATTGAATCTTTGAAATGTAACGATGAATAAAATCGTGTCCACGTGTTCTTTTTATTTATTTTTTTGTTTTTTTTTTTTTTTTATTCTTTCTTTACGCTTATCACCGTAAATCCCAAATGCGAGACTTTGATACTCTGAATTAAATTGAAAGATATTAATATGGATTAAAACAAATCTATAAAAATTAATATAAAATATCGTAGAGATTCTCAAGCGAACGAGTATCGTAGAATTAATAATATCATTTAACGAAAGTGTATTAATTCTGTTTTGTTTTTTTTTTCTTTTTTTTTCTTGTTTCTCTCTCTCCCTCTCTCTCTCTCTCTCTCCCTCTCTATCTATCTTTTTTCCTTCTCTTTTTTTTTTTTCTTCTCAACAGAAATTTAGATTACGTCTGCAAAGAGAACGGGCGTTGCATCGTGGACGTTTCAAGACGTAATCAATGCCAAGCCTGTCGTTTTACAAAATGTCTTCAGGTCAACATGAAACGAGATGGTACGCTTCGTCTCGATGGTGATTAATCTCTTACCAATTAGTTACTTTTACATATGTATATATATATATATATATATATATATATATACGCACACACGCATACAGACATATATACACATTTATCTATTAATATTTTTGTTCTCTCTCTCTCTCTCTCTCTCTCTCTCTTTTTCTTTCTTTTTCTCTTACACATAAATTCTACATGATAAATAGAGATAGATAGATAGATAGATAGATAGATAGATAGATAGATAGATAAATAGATAGATAGAGAGGAAGAGAGGGAGAGAGAAAAAGAGGGAAAAAAAATTGGATGAAAATAAAAAATTCACACGAAGAAAATTCTATCGACATATTGACTCGTCATATTCCGGAAGTTCTGTGATTGTCAGAAAGCCATATATATATATATATATATATGTGTGTGTGTGTGTGTGTGTGTGTGTATACATAAAAATCGATAGAGACATTTTTGTGTAAACACATCGAGTGCGTTATGTAGATCTTCAAAACCAGTATATATTATAATGCATTGAGGAAAATACAGCTTCTCTTACTCCTAAGCAAAAAAAGAGAGAAAAAAATGGAAAATAAAAAGAAAAAAAAAAAAAGAAGAAAAAGAAAAAGAAAAATCGTAAAGTGAAGAGGAATAAGACAGAGAAAGAGAGAATGAAAGAGAGAGGAAAAGATAGATAGATAGATAGATAAATAGATGGAGGAAGAACAGTTTTTGTATGTCGGCACAGCCCATATGAAATTCTATATCGATGCTTTGGTTAGAAATTCGATGTGAAAAAGGAGAGAGTCAGTATCGACACGGTCGGAGGAACGGTGTCAGAAGCAGCCCGGAGTTCTCAGCTTTTGTAAACACTTCCATTCAACGCGTACCTCGTCTAGAACCGATAATCCAAACACTTGATTGCTCGGAGATATCAATTAGCGAGGGTGGTAATGTTGAAGTAGTAGGCGCCATTATGACCAATATGTGTTCCACGTCTATTGAGAGCTTCTTCTTTGGGGATTAAAAAGAGAAAATGAAAAAAAAAAAAAAAAAAAAAAAAAAAGAAAAGAAAAAAGAAAAGAAAAGAAAAAGAAAGAAGAAAGAGAAAATAAATGGAAGAAAGTGCGACAGACGATGACCACGATGATTGACGATGATTAATGAAAATTCAGATTTATCATGTGATCCTGATGAAGTGGATGGAGTAAAGAGAAAAGAAAAAAAAAAAAAAAAAGAAAAAAAGGAAAGAAAGGAAAACTGAGAAAAAAGTAATTACTATAAATTGCACGATCAAAACGAGAAAGAATAAAAAAATAAAAAAAGAAAGAAAAGAATTTTCATCTAATAATAAGTTTAACAGTTAATTCTATTCTTTGAATATATATCGTTGGTGTGCCGATTACAAAAAGATAATATCAGGTTATTCGTCGTATGGATTTTAATTTTTCGATACTTTTTTCGTTTTCTTTTCCGCCCCCCCCCTCCTCCCCGCTCCCCCCTTTTAATTATGACCATTGAGAACGTTAATAGAACTTAATGACTCCTCGGTATGAGTTAAAAATTATCAATTAATATTTTTTTCAAATCTTATAGAAATATAAAAGGATCGTACAAAGTTAAAGAGTATACGATCTATTGAATTATCATGGCGTATATTTAAAATTATATTAAAATAATTATTAATAAGAGAGAAATATTATCGTTATTTGTCTAATTCACGTTTGTATTATAACCAAAGGATGGGTTTAACTTTTTTGTACTATCCCCTTTTTTTTTCTTTTTTCTTTTATTTTTATTTTGTGTGTGTGTGTGTGTGTGTGTGTGTCCTATCGAAATTGTCCTATCGATTTCAGCGGTACAACATGAAAGAGCACCGAGAAGTACTTCGAACCTTGTGGCTGCTGCAAGAAGAGCTCCAGCTGGTCTTTATCCAGGACTACCTCACGTTTATCACACGACAAACAATCCTTATCATCCACTTCTTTATCCGGCATTATTTCCTTTCAAGCCGACAATGCCCCCATTTGCACCGGCCGTTGGTAAGAACTATAATAGATATCTATTTATTATCATAGGATAAGATAAATAGTATTGATAATGAGAGACATCATTAAAAATTATACTTTTGATTATTGTGATTAGCACATTTTTTACCAAGAACCTCGACAGAATCATTATCGGTGAGCACAGCGAAGGAAGACGAGGTAACGAGTTCCGAAGAAGCTGCAACAGTTGAACCGAGGCTCGAACAAAAAGGTAAATTAAAAACGACAAAAGAAAATAATTTTAATAATAATAATAATAATAATAATAATAATAATAATAATAATAATAATAATAATAATAATAATAATAATATTATTATTATTACTTTATTTAAGTTTTTTTTTTTTTTTTAAATAATTGTCACTTTCTTTTAAAAAGTCTCCCATAAAAGTAATATTATTTTTATTAAATAATTTATTATTTATATTTTTATTTACTTTTAATTAATTTTCATCAAATGGCATAGTCTAACTCTTTTATAATATAAATATTATTATTATTATTATTATTATTATTATTATTATTATTATTATTAGATATAAGACTTGAATAAATATTTCAGATAACGTATAAAAGTGTTACCCTTAACATTTCAAATTGAATTTTTTTTCTTTTGATTTTTAGAAGAACTAGTCGGTGGTACTCGTCTTGTTCCACAAATCATCAGTCCTGTCACTGCGGAATATACGATGTCAAGTTTTTCATTGTTGCCGACGGAAAATGTTTACGAGTTTGCAGCTAAATTATTATTCTTTGCTGTAAGATGGGCCAGAAGTATACATTCATTTTTACAAGTAAGAATAAAATTCATTCTTATTACGAAATTAATGAAATTCATTAATATCTTCTTCTTTTTTTTTTTTCTTTTCTTTCTTTCTTTCTTTCTTTCTTTCTTTCTTTATCTCAATTAGTTACCATACCGAGATCAAACTATATTGCTAGAAGAATCATGGAGTGAATTGTTCGTACTTACGGCGGCCCAATGGAATTTTCCCGTTGAAGAAAGTACTTTGGTTCCTGGTGATTTATCTACGGAAAGACGAGAGATATTAATCGATGAAGCAAGAAGACTTAGAGAATTATTAGCTAAATGCTCGTTGCTAAGGGTCGATCATTCGGAATACGCGTGTTTGAAAGCCATCGTCCTTTTCAAGGGTGGTACGTTTAATCATTGAAAATAATTATTGTATTATAATGACAGTCTAACGATAAGTACAAAAATTCAATTCATAATTTATCATTGATAATAAATACGCATTATATATTATGATAATGTGATATTAGAAAAAAAAAAAAAAAAAAAAAATGAACAAAAAAAGAAAAAAAAAAAAAAGAAAAATTGAGAATTGAACGATAAGTAATGTCGAAGTCATTATTGCGAATTGACCCTAAGAGATTTGAAATATCAATTACACTTTTTCTACAATATTTTGGATTCATTCTTTGTTCTTTCTTGTTTCTTTTTTTTTTTTTTTTTTTTTTTTTTTCATTGAAAATGTACGATTACGAGAGTAGAGGTAATTCTTTTACGATTCGTGAAACGAAAAAGACGAAAAAAAAAAAAAACGAAAGAAAAGATTTTTCAAATCAACAATAGAAATTATTGTTGTATTAAAAATGTCGACATTACGTGTCATACAATTATCTCAAGTTATTTAAATATTATCTGAATTTTAGATCACTTCGTATATTTGTATATATGATATATTTTTATACTTTTTTATTCTTAAAAACAAAGAAAAAAAAAAGAAAAAAAAGAAAAAAGAAAGAAAGAAAGAGAAAAAGGAAAAAAAAAGAAAGAAAGAAAGAAAGAAAGAAAAAAAGAAATATGATTAATTTGTCTCACAGAATCGAGAGGTCTCTGCGAACCTGGCAGAGTTACCGCGTTACAAGAACAAACCGTAGCAGTTTTGTGCGAACGTGACGCACGAAGGGTCGGTCGATTATTGTTGCTATTACCACCGGCGCGTGCATTGTGCCGATCTACCCTTCAAGAGCTTCTTTTCAAGCCCACCGTCGGTGACGTCAGCGTGGAAAGATTACTAGGAGATATGGTCGGTGCGCTCAGGCCAACTTAGCAGCCATCGTCGTCGAACGTGGACGTCGACTGAGAACGTACATTGCTCGATTATATTTAAAACGCTGTGTTAAAAAAAAAAGAAAAAAAAGAAAAAAACAAAAAGAAAAAAAAAAAGGATCTTCGAATTTTACTCCGATCGTCGTACGAAATTACGTATATCAAACAAAGGACTTCGTTTTTTATTTATTATTTCTTCTTTCTCCATTTTTTTTCCGAAAATAATTAAAACTTACCAACAGAGTTGAAATCGTTTTCTATATTTACAATCGTCGATAATGTCGGATAATGTCGATAATAATGGTCGGTAATTGTCGGTAATACAGAGAGAGAGAAAGAGAAAGAGAGAGGGTCTTCTATACTGAATATAATTTAATAAGTTTTACGATAAAAGAACGAATTCTTCGTAATCTTATTGAATCTTTAAAAGAAGAGATAGCCGTTTTATAATGGCAACAAAAAGTTCTAGTCAAATCTCAAGTCATAAAGTTAATGTCTACCGCATGTATATAGATGTATGTATTACGAAAATTAGAAATAAATCATACGTGTCTGTAATAACAAGAGCAATACATTGATTCGTCGTAGATATAAAAAAAACAAAAAAACAAAAAAAAAAAAAAAAGAAAATGAAGTTATAAAATAAATTGACATTTTACTCTCGTTAGAATAGTTTCTCTTTAATCGAAAACAAAAAAAGATTTTCTAATTATTTAATCTCAATGATTTTCTATCCCCTTCTTTTTTTTCTTCTTTTTTTTTTTTTCTTTTTCTTTTTTTCCTATGGCAAAATTATATAAAAGTTATGACAATCATTATGTAAAAAATTCGAGATATTTCTTGAGATGTCGATCGAAACAACAACAACAACAACAACGAATAGGAGAGGGGGGAGGGAATGTAGATGGGAAGGGATTCGTGGTATTTATATATATAAAAGAAAAAAATAAACAAACGCAATGAACGCACATTTTTTTTTTTTTTTTTTTTTTTTTTTTTTTTTTTTTTTTTTTTTTTTTTTTTTATTAACTAGAATAATTTATTTTTTTTTTTTTTTTTTTTTTTTTTCATGGTAGAAAAAGGAGAATGCATCTTAAACTCATGGACTGCATTGTACTCATATATATACAATTACATACAATCCTTAAATTGAACGTTACACATAAAATTCATTATAAATTAATTTCTCATTTATTTATTTGTTCTCATGAGAAATCTTGTTGTTTAATAAGAACGAAAGAGTCGATTATTATACCAAAATGACGGCTTGCTATTTGTCGCGTGATATATTTATTGGTAGAGGGGGAAAAAAATAGCTCTGAGCGCGCGGTTTATGATACTGCGTGATTATTATGACGATGACGACGACGATGACGACGACGACGACGACGACGATGATAACGACGACGACGACGACGACGACGACGACAGCGACGACGACGACGACGACGACGACGATGACGATGACGACGACGACGACGACGACGAGAACGACGACGACAACGACGACGATATAATAATGCAGTAATTATTTTTCCATTTAATGCCCGTTTATCATCTTACTGTTATTTTCCTTTTTTCTTTTACTTTTTTTTTCCTTTTAATCCAATTTGTATATACGTATATGAATTGAGAGAAAGACATAGTGATAAGGTTGGAAAGGGAAGAGAGAGTTTGACACTGGGAGAAACAAGGAAAGAGATAAGAAAAAAGAAAAAGAAAAGAAAAGAAAAGAAAAGAAAAGAAAAGTGTCCTGCGTCGCTTCTATGAGAAATTCTCTCGTCGAATTGATTTTCATAAGCAGAACGACGAACGACGCCATATCGAACGTTTGGGGAGAATTCAAAAAAAAAAAAGAAAAGAAAAGAAAAGAAAAGAAAAGAAAAGAAAAAGAAAAAGAAAAAAAAAGGGAACGTAGTAGAAAGAAATTATATAGGGGGTGGTGAAATTGACAGATGCGAATGGGGATGATTGGATCGAGAAAAAAATAAAAAAAAAAAAAAAACGAAAGAAAAAAAGAAAAAAGAAATAAGAAGATAATAAGGAATCGATTTCAAAAGAGTATGGAATGTCTTGTCAAGTCTCTCATTCACGCTTTCGTCTCGACGACTCTACTTCGTCTGCACTTTTGTACTTTTATCATTATTAAACTATTATTATTATTATTATAATAATTATTATTATTATTATTATTATTATTATTATAATTATTATTATTAATATTAATATTATTTTTTTGTTTTATCATTATTAATAATTAATTAATTAAGTGATTAGTTTAATTAATTAATTAATTAACATTATCATTATCAATATTATTATTATTATTATTATTAACATTATCATTATTATAATAGTCGCCATTACACTTATGTTTTTTCGTTCGTTTGTACGCGTTCGAAAGATAATAAAATAGAGAGATAGGTAATTTACTTGATTGATAGTAATAAGAAAAAAGAAAAAAAGAAAAGAAAAAAAAAATAAGACGAGAAAAAAGGACATAAGAAAAAACAAACAAACAAACAAACAAATAAACAAACGAACATACAAAGTAAACGTAGAAGGATGATAAATAATAAATTACGCAATCGTAAACCAAAAATGCAGACGACGGCATAAAAATATATTATATCGAGTTACATGTATTTCTTATTATTGATTTCTCCTTTCTTTTTTTTTCTTTCTTTTTTTGTCTTTTTTTTCTTTCTTTTTCTTTTTTTTTTCTTTTTTTTTTTTTTTTTTTTTATATATATATCACTCGCAAAAACATCTGCAATTATCTTCTTATATAGCCTCGGAGTCGTCTAGAACAATTGATAAAAGAAAAAAAAAGGATGTCTTCTCCAACGCATCGTATATATTATGATGGGCAGTTTACTCTTCGCTCTTTTTTTCCATCCCCTAATTGTTCGCTTCAAATTCTCTCGTTGATGATAAAGAAGAAGAAGAAGAAGAAGAAGAAGAAGAAGAAGAAGAAAAAGAAGAAGGAAGCGTATTTTCGACTGTCAGCTAACACGCCACACAAGTCTATTATTTATATATCATCTATCTCCTTCTTTTTTTCTTCGTTTTAATAAGCAAAATTTTCAAACACGTACGTAATACATTCTTACAAACAAACAAACAAAATGGAGAAAAAAGAAAAAATAATATATATATATATATATATATATACATATTATTGAATTCTTTTTCTCGCTTTTTCATCTCCTCGAAATCTACTCGCGAAGTGCCTGGCTAAATGATAGATTAAGAGACACGCTGCTCTTTTGTCCGCCATTTTTTTTTGTTTTTGTTGTTGTTGTTGTTCTTTTTTCTCTCAGTTAATAATAATATATATATATATTTTTATATCATACTGTTCTCCTTAATAGCTTTTATGTTTTTTTGTGTTCTTTTTTTTTTCTATATATATATATATGTATATATATATATAATGTATCTGTGTTTCATGTTCATATACGTGTATATATACATATATATATACACACACACACACACACATATGTATATATATATATATATATATCTCAAGTTTAACGCACTTACAATTCAAGTAGACTTTTACTAGAGTTACACAGTTTAATAATTTGCGATTAAATCTGATTCGCTCTGGCGCGCTTTCGAGATTTCGCACTTTCGTATCGAAACCATTTATATTATTATTATTTATTATTATTACTCTCCTCGTGTAGTTTATAATATAATAATATTATTTTATTTTTACTTTTACCTTTACTTTAATTTAATTTACTTTAATTTACTTTAATTTACTTTAGTTTAATTTATTCTTTGTGAGGAATTGTTTCTCTTTCTTTCTTTCTTTCTTTCTTTCTTTCTTTCATTTTGTTTGTTTTTTTATTTCTCTTACGCTTTTGAACTTGGCGTGGCTCGCGGACGATTAAAACTCGGTGAACAATTTTCTTTTTTGCGTGTTCTTTTTTTTCTTTTTTTTTCTTTTTTCCTTTTCTATTTCTCTCGCGCTTTATCACGACACAGAAAAGATTTCCCTAATAAAATTTTGTTTCATCGTCATTATCTTTCATCTCTCTCTCTCTCTCTTTCTCTGTCTCTCTTTCTCTCTTTTTGCTCGGTAACAATTAGAGGAGGATCGATAAGAAAACAACGACGAGATCGTTTGATCGTGTCCGAGATTTTTTTAAGGAGGAAAAGGATGGCGTCGCATAGGCATGATCGGGCTGATCGACGGATAGAAAAAAAAAAAAACAATTTTGGATTTGCCGAAAAAAGGTTAAGAATTCATTTTTGATTTTCTTTTCTTTTTTTTGCCTTCGAGGATCGAATCTCTCATTTGAGAAAATGAGCGCAAACTTCTCTCTCTCTCTCTCTCTCTCTTTCCTTTAATCGTGAAGATTTTCTTTTTTAGAAATGTCGAAATATTATTCCGGCGAAACAGCCCAGATAAATTTTAATTTAACACACGTCGTCTTAAAAATGACGCGTGAAAGAGGAAATCGAAATTGTGTCGTGATAAGGAGCGCGAGCGTTACAATGTAAAAAAGAAATTTAAAAAAAAAGAAAAAAGAGAGAGAGAGAGAGACAGTAAAAGGAAAGAAAAGAAGAAGAAAGATAAGTGGAAAGATCGAAGGGAGTAAAAATACCTTCTTTCTTTCTTTCTTTCTTTTTTTCTTTCTTTCTTTCTTTCTGCTTTTTACTTTTTTTTTTTTTCTTCTTTTGCTTTTATCATTATCATCATTATCATTATGCTCTCTCTCTCTCTCTATCTATCTCTCTCTCTATCTCTCTCTCTTTTTTCTCTCTTTCTCCTTCTTAACAATATGTTACACCGGCACCTCGCCCGATAATCATCTCATTTTTTCCTGTATCTCGCATTTTGACTTCACGCATTTCGAATTTCGATAAAATTTCATTATCCACATGATTTTACTTCTTCCTTTATTATTCTTTCTTTTAATTTTCTTTCCTTTTCTTTTCTTTCCTTTTTTTTTTTTTGGTTGTTATTATTTTTTCTTTTTTCTTAGCCCGCCTACCCCTCTAATCCCAAAAAACGCATACACCGTTGTATCAATATAATTATCCCTCTTTTTTTTTTTTTGTTTTTTCTCCTGTTTTTTTTTTTTTTTCTTTTTTGTAAATCCATGACGAACAATCGTTGATATTAAAGTTCTTTCCCAATTTTCTTTTTTCGCTTCGAAGACAAGAAAAGATACGGAGAAGAAAAAAAAAAGAAAAAAAAAAAAAAAAAAAAAAAAATAAGAAACGTTAAGAAAAGAAAAGAAAAGAGTGGAAAAAAGAAGGAACGAAAAATTGTGACAAACAAAAACAATACAAAACGGCTATTTCTACTGTTCTTTCCATTTCTATTTTTAAACGCTACTTATTGTAGGACAAAAAACCTAACAGATTTCTGGCATAATAACAAATCGTCGTCGATTGGTTCCGGGATAGGTCTCAAGGAGATCTAATTCTATATCTTTAATTCTATGTCTCTCTCTCTCTCTATCTCTCTCTCTCTCTCTCTCTCTCTGTCCCTTTTTCATTCCTATTAACTTCATCGTTTAACATTTCCTTCCAAACCAATCCCGGACAAATACCAACGCGACGAAATATAACAGATTATTGGCTCTGCACGCATTATTATCCTTTCTGGCTTCTCAAATATCCTTTTTTTCTAATCTCAATATTTTGTTATCGAGTCTCTCTCTCTCTCTCTCTCTCTCCCACTCTCTCTATTTCTGTCTTGAGAAGAAAAAAAAAAAATACATTCTCAATTAGATCTTTCTTTGCTCTCTTCTTTCCGTCCTCGTAACGTGGTGTGTCTTGACGATAAAAATAAAAACAAAAAAAGAAAAAAAAAATTGTTAATAAAAGAGACAAAAAAAGAAGTACTTTTTCAAATCGATCGTACGTCTTTCTCTCGCAAGAAAATTTGCAGTTGAAAAAGAATAGAGAAAAAGAAACAAAAAGAAGAAAAAAGAAAAAAAATAAATAAATAAATAAAAACAAAAAACTTTTATTTATTTCCCGACTAATATACTCTCTCCTCGACGAACACGTTAATATGTTATTTTATATATTTATCGTATGGCAGTGATTATATGTTTCTCGTTTTTTCATATCTCGTTCGGAAAAGAAAAGAATTGAAATTAAAAAAAAAAAAAAAAAAACAAAGAAATTAGGAAAAAAAGGATGATCATTATCGTAATCATCGCTATGAGTTTATTACTTATCAGTTATATTTATAATAAATATTCGTATTACGAATCGTTCGTTATAATTTTATAATTTAAAAACAAAAATAAAAAGAGACGACAAGACGTATACCGTTTCTCGTTTATACTTTCAATTTATATTTTCTTGTTTATTTAATTTTTATTAATATGTTTATTTAATTGTTATTAATATATATATATATATATATATATATATATATATACTTATACACACATATTTCAAATAAATCATCTGAGTATTCGATTATTATTCGTTGGTTCTCGCGATTACGCTTGTCACAAAAAAAAGAAAAAAAAAAAAAAAAAGAAAAAAAAAAATAACAGAATAAATAAATAAACGAAAAACAATGAAGAAGAAGAAGAAGAAGAAGAAGAAAAGGAAAACCAACAAAAAGAAAAATGACACGAACGTTTCTCGAATTTGGAAAGAATAAAATGCATAGCGATCAACATTTGACTTACGTTTTCCTCTTTGGTACGAGACTCGATTGAACTCGATCGGTAATTAATACAATAATTAACCCTAAACGTTAACGACGAGAAGAAAAATATTAGGAACTTTTGAGTAGCCAGAAAAGTTTTCAGTGATATTACACTATATATACACTTCTAGCAAAAAAGAAAGAAAGAGAGAGAGAGAGAGAGAGAGAAAGAGTGGGAGAGGGAAAGGGAGAGAAAGAGAGAGAGAGAGAGAGAAAGAGAGAGGAACAACCCCATTTGAAGAGAAGCAAGAAGGAAAATTCGTAAAATACAAATTCCATCATTGCTGATCTCTTGAAATTGCACCCCGTCTTCCGTTCCCCTTTCATCCCTCTTTATCTCACTCCCTCCTCTCCCATGACAGAGCTCAAGAATATATAATCTATTCCTCTCTCTTTCTGTATCTCGCTCTCTTGCTCTCTCTCTCTCTCTCTCTCTCTTTTATTTGTTTTTTTTCCTTTCTCTCTTTCTCATTTAATAATCGTTTTTTAATCATCGCTATCTCTTACGCTCAACTATTATTATCATTCTCATTTGTTATCGAAGGGGAGATTTGTCACTTTCTCTCTTTCTCTTACTGGCTCTCTCTGTGTTTAATTGTTTGCTTTGTTTTGTATTCTTTTCTTTTCTTCTTTCCCTCTTTCTTTTTTTTTTTTCATTTTTTACTTTTTTTTTAAATAATTATTATTTTATCATTTATTTATTTATTTACTTATTTATTTATTTATTTATTTATTTATTTATTTATTTACTTATTTATCTTTCCTTTGTTGTTACGTGCTGGTAGTGTTATTTTCGTTACTTCTATTTCGTCATTTCTTTCTCTCTCTCTCTCTCTCTCTCATTCATTCTTTGTCTTTCTCTCTCTCTCTTTCACTTTCATTCACTTTTACTCATTTTCTCTCTCTCTCTCTCTCTCTCTCTCTCTCTCTCTCTCTATCATTATCTACCTATCTCTGTCAAAGGTTTCTTCGTTAAAAAAAAAAAAAAAAAAAAAAGAATAGAAAAGAAAGATCTATTATCAATTTTGTTTCACGATCGTC